CTGTGGCGCCTTGCGTGGCCGCTGTTCGTCGTGCGTCATGGGTTCGCAAATGGTAGCTTGCACATGCTTGATGAAACGGGGCCATCGCAGGCAATGAGGTGAATGCCGCACAGCACAGGCAGCCAGGCTCCTGCGTGGGCCGCGCGGCAGGGCCGCCTGCAGTTGGCCGCCTGCTGCTCACGCCCGCCCCTCCCCACTTCCCGTCCTCCGCCCCTGCCCGCGCTGCCCGTGGCAACGCACAGTCGCGTCCCTGGTCGGCGAGGAGGCTGCAGAGGAAGCTGCCAGGAAGCTGGACGAGGAGCGGAAGAGGCTGAAAAAGGCCAAGAAGGCGGGCGCCGCCAAGGCCAAGGCGGCGCCTGGCGACGAAGCAGAGCCGGAAGCGCAGCGCGGCGCGCCCGCGGCGGCGGAGGCGGCGCGGGCGGCGCCCAGCCCGTCGCGCGGCGGGGAGGACGCCGGCGGCGGCGCGGACGAGGCGTGGGCGGATGCGGTTGAGGGGCCTGGCGAGGACGAGGAGGACGAGGGGGCCTACGAGGACGCTGAGGAGGAGGGCGAGGACGGCGCGTTCACGGTGGACGAGGCGGGGCGGATCATATTGGACCCCCGCCAGATCATGCGCACGAGCGCGGACAGCGGGGAGGGCAGGGACGCCAGGGAGCCGCGCGGCGGCGGCGGCCGAGCGGCGGAGCGCGACCGCGACCGCGGCCGGCGGGAGCGAGAGCGGGAGCGGCCTGCTGAGCGGGAGCAGGAGCGCGAGCGGCCGTCCGAGCGGGAGCGGGAGCGCGCCGGGGAGCGCGGGGAGCGGCGGCAGTCGCGGGCGCCGCGAGACGTGATGAGCGCGGCGGTGGCGGCTGCCGCGGCGTCCACGGCGGCTGGGGCTCGGGGGCTCCACAGCGCTGGCGACGGGGACGGCGGCGCCGCAGGCCGCCGGAGGGGCGGTGGAAAGGCCCCGGAGCAGGGAAGCTCGGAGGGGCAGGCCGCAGTGGCAGTCACAGGCCAGGGCGCCCCGCAGGGGTACCGCCAGCAGCAGCAGCAGAACGCCGAGCATCCTCAGCAGCCTCAGCAACATAAGGATTCATCCCAGCAGCAGCAACCCCAGCAGCAGCAGCAGCAGCAGCAGCAGCAACACGTGAACAGGGTCAAGCCGGGCCCCGTGGAGCACCCGAACGACGTGGCTATAAACGCGAACGGCTACCTCCGGCCGCTCGAGTGGCGCTCACTCACGCAGCCGCCGCCGCAGACGCTGCCCGTGTGCAGGCTGTGCGCCTTCCGCGGCCACTCCGCGCACTGCCCGTTCAAGCCGTGCCGGCGGTGCGGCCGGAGGGGCCACCAGACGGGCATGTGCGGCTTGGAGTGCGGCAGATGCAAGCTGCACCCGGGGTCAAGCTTTCCGAACGAGCAGCACGACGAGCACGAGTGCCCCTTCCCCCAGTGCGCCTACTGCGACCGGGTGGGGCACTACACTGACGAGGTGGGCCCCTGCGTCTGCAGCAAGGGGTTGGAGCATGTATGGGCTTGCGTGCGTGTGCGCATGCAAACGGGTGTGTACATCTGTGTGTGTGTGTGTGTGTGTGTGTGCGCGCGCGCGCGCATATGTGTGAGTGTGTTTGTGCGTGCACCTGCTTGTGATGGTGAGCACCTTGAGGCAGGGCAGCGCTGAACAGTAGTGCGTGTGGTCGTTGTTAGAGGGCAGGGCCTACAGAGGGCAGGGGCAAGCAGGTCTGTGTGCGGAGCTCGCTGTGTGAGGCCCCTCCATTTCAGCTCACCTTGCTGTTTATGCCCTTGTGCCCTCGACGGCTCGCCCGCCCCCCCCCCCCCCCCTTCCTGCACCTCCCCCCAGTGCATCCATGCGCCCGCCGGTGCGCACAAGGCCGTGCTCCCGAGCCCCGCGCCGCGCCTGGTCCCTGGGCTCGACGCGCCCCCGCAGGCGCAGCAGGCCGCGGCGCGGCCGCGCGCGCAGCAGCAGAAGCAGCCGCCCCAGCAGCAGCAGCAGCAGCAGCAGCAGCAGCAGCAGCAGCCGCCTCAGCAGCAGCAGCGGCAGGTGCTCGTGGCGGAGCCCCCCCAGGAGTCCCTGCCGCCGGGCATGTCACCCGACCAGGCCGTGGAGGCGCTGGTGGCCCGCATGTTTGAGGTGCCCCAGTTTTCAGAGGCGGTGATGGCCTATTTGGAGGAGGACCGGCGGAGGCAGCTGCTGGCCGCGGCGCAGGAGGGGTATGGGACGCTGGTGACGGCCATAGGGCGGCAGGACGTGGCCGCGCTGCGCGCGCTCGTGGAGCGGCTCAGCCGGCAGCACGACGCGCGGCTGCGGCGGCGAACGCAGCAGGGGCAGGGCGCGCAGCAGCAGCAGCAGCAGCAGCAGCAGCAGCCGCAACAGGAGCAGCAGCTGCAGCAGCAGCAGCAGCAGCAGCCGCAGCAGCGGCGGCGGGCGGCGGCGGCGGGGGAGCGGGAGCAGCAGGACGCGCAGCAGCAACGGCAGCAGCAGCAGGCGCAGGCGAGCAGGACCGGCAGTGGCTTCGACGCCAATGGACAGCTTCCGCTGCTGCAGCAGCAACAGCAGCGACAACACAGTCCGCAGCCCTGGCCACGGCACGAGCAGCAGCAGGAGCATGAGAACGAGCAGAAGCAGCAGAAGCAGCAGCAGCAGCAGCAGCAGGAGAAGGAGCGAGAGCAGCAGGAGCTGGCAGCACCTCCTGACTATCATCAGCAGCATCAACACGCAGGTGACCGTGGTGGCCGAGGCCGGGGCGCCGGCCCGGCCGCCCCGACCGTCAGCTTTGCCGCGGCGCAGCGCGGCGGCCCCGAGGGCGACGACACGACGCCGATGCCGCTGCCGCTGCCGCCGCTGTCGCCGCAGCAGCGGCCGCCGCTCCCGCTTGTGCACCCCGGCCTGCCGCGTGGGGACAGCATTGGCAGCGCCAGCGCGCCGGCGCCCGGCGACCCGTGGACCCTTGGGAATGCGGAGGACGAGGACTTCCGGAGCGGCGTGCTGCAGCAGCTGCGCACCGCCGTCCCGCGGCCCCCCGCGCCCAGCACGCCGGGCGCCCCGCACGGCGACCACCCCGCCGGCCCCCCGCCCGGCTTCGCGCCGCCCCCGACGCCGCCGCGGCAGCACCACCCGCACCCCCACCTCGCGCTGGCGGCCGAGCCGCCGCGCCCGCACCCGCACCACCTGCCGCCGCCGCACCTGCTGCCGCCGCCGGAGCCGCCCACAGAGGAGTTTGTCCTTAACGTCCTCCTTTATGAGGATCTCGCATACATGGAGCCCACGGCGCGCGAGTCCCTGCAGCAGCGCTTCACAGCGGCCCCGGGCACCCCCCTGTTGGAGCGGCTCGCGTTGACGACCGCCGCGCTGGGCCTCCCCGCGGCGCCCGAGGACCGGCTGCGGGAGAAGGCAGCGGCCGTCGCGGCGCAGCGGCACGGCATGTACATGCAGCAGCTGCAGGCGATGGCGCAGCACCAGCAGCAGCAGCAGCAGCAGCACCCGCCGGCGCCGTATGGCGCGCCGCTGGTGGGCGGCGCCCCGCCCGGCTTCTCGCTGGCCCCGCCCGGCCCACCGCTGCCCGGCGCGCCGCCGCGGCCGCTCCTGCCCCACCTCGCGCCCTACGGGCCCGCGGGCGCAGCGCCGCCCCAGCAGCCGCCGCCGCACGTCGCGCATCCGCATGCGCAGCGGCCCGCGCTGCAGGCGGGGCAAGGGGGCGCGGCGGGCGTGGCGAGCGAGGAGGCCGGTTCGGATGAGGACGACCTCATGGCGCTGCTGGGCATGGAGGGCCAGGAGGAGGGGCAGGAGGGGGTGCCGCGGCGCGCCGACGAGGACGCTGACGAGGACGCTGACGAGGACGACCTCGGTGGCAGCCAGGACGAGGCCCCGTGGGAGGTGCCGGACGCCCCCGACCGCGCCGCCGCGCCTGCGCAGCCGCGCACCTGGGCGCGCCTCGCACCCGCTGCGCCCTCAGCCGCCGCCGCCGCGGAGTACCCGTCCCTCGGCGCCGCCGCCGCCGCCGGCGAGGGCGACGAGGAGGCCGCCGTGCAGCGCGCGCTGCGCGAGAGCCTCGCCGCCGCAGCCTCGCCGCACCGCGCGCGGCAAGCTGCCGCCGCCGCCGCCGCAGCCTCTGGCGACGCCGACGCGCCGCCGCCCGACGAGCCCGAGGGGGTCGTGGCTACCGCTGGCTTGGCCAACGCGACTGGCGAGTACAACTGCTTCCTGAACGTCGTCATCCAGTGCCTCTGGGCCTGCCGCGACTTCCGGCTGCGGCTGAGGCGCGACCTGCCGCCGGGGGTCGGCGACGTGTTCCCGGTGGTGGGGGCGCTGCAGGACCTGTTTGGGGACCTGGAGGCGGCAGAGGCGGAGTGGCAGCCCGGGAAGAAGAGGTGCGGGGCGCGGGCGGGCGCGGCGCTGGGGGGATGCGCGGTCGGGCGGCCGGCGC